TATTAGCATCCCTTCCGGGATTAACCATTTGAATGGGATTCCTTTTTTGTTTAAATAATTAGCTAGAAATTTGTAATCTTGTCTTATGACCCTCACTTTTCTTTGGATTTGCTTAAGGATCATGATCTCTTTGCCCTTGTATGTTATTGTTTCATCTCTAGACAGTCTGAGTATTAAATCTCTCACACATCTTCTTGTGAAACGAATGTGAATCTCTCTCGGACAATTGTGGCGTCTTGCGTAACTAGTGCTGACCCTATAAACCTCGTCGAATTCCTTGAGTAGATCATCTTTTCTTTCTCTAACAGTTCGGCCAATAATCCTGCCATTAGCTGCTCTAATTCTTCATTCTTCGATTCCTCCACATTCTGAAATCTCAGATATGCCGCTGCTTTATCCATTTCTAGATGGACCAGGGAATCTTCCGTTTCTCTAGTTACGTTTTTTAATTCTTCGTCTACTCTTTCTATATTCTTCTCCGTTCGTTCTGTCCTTGTCTCTATTTCTTTTATCTTTGTTTCATTTTTTTTCATAGCCTGTTGCAATGTCCCAATCTTATCCTCCACCTTAAGTATATCTGCTTTCATCTCCGCTTTTAGCTTTCCCATCTCTTCCTTTAATTCGCTGATGTCCGCTCTAGTTTCATTATGGTTCTTAATAATTATTTCTTGCATTTTGGACATTGATTCTTGCAAAGACAGTAGGGTAGCTTGTATATTAGCATTGGAGACGTTGGGTTGTTTTTCTCCTGTTAAAGATTCTTCAATAGTTTTTTGAATTGTTGGTGAGGCTGATGTCAAGGTGGCCGTTAGGGTCGGGGTAGTCTTCCTTCCCGTTTTCAGAGCCGTAGTTGTTGTGGAGGTCATCTCTTTTAAAATTTGTTTTTGCTGTTGAACTATGTTAATTGTCCCAGATCACCATTCAGTGTTATTGCCCCTAAAGTAAGGTTTCAGGTCTATTTACTTGGATTACCAAAACGTGTTATTTTGGTTCTATGTCTTCAGTCAGGTATGTAGTTTGGGCAATCTATATTCCCGTAATATAAAGCACTATCTGATTCTATATAATATTCTCTATAATAAGTTTATATGCCAAATATAATTATGTATAACAAATAATATATCAAATCAAACCCAATTACAACTTTAAAACAATTCTGAGATTTCTAAATCTATATAAACCTTTATCTTATGCTATAAGTTAGTATTAAATATTCTAAATATTCTAAATCAGCAATATTTTACAATCCTTATTGTTGCTAATTATTCAAAACAATCAAATCAATTAGCACTTAAATCTGTAGAAATCGGTATACCTTTTCTAAGTAAATAAATTTATAGATGTTATTGAGAGAAGGAAAAAAAAAGAAAAGGAGAGAAAGAGTGGGAAGAAAAAGAAGATTTACCTTAGCATCAGGAAATCAATAAACAGAAGACAAGATATTTAGTTTGTAGAAATAATGCCAAGGAAGGATTCAAGAAGATAGAGTAGTGTGGTAAAGAAGTAGAATTATGAGATCAGAGTTAAAACTAAAGTTTTTTAGGTTTTTGTATTTCTTTTCCGGCACACCGGGAAGAGGCTGGTAGAAAGTGCTGACTAATCGCTGTCAACAGTCAGTCTTTCCCAGACTTCAATTAGTCTCTTTCTTCTTCTTCTTTTTTCCTTTTTCCTTTTCCCCACGCTTTTAAGTCCAATGTCCTAATCTCCTTCGCTTGTTGCTTTCACCTCAATCCAAGTGTTCTCTCGCAATTGCTTAGAAGTCTGTCCTACAAACAGCGTTAAATAGAGTCTGTAATCTTATTACGCTAAGTTCAGAGAGTCAATGTATTGCTTTCAGCACCGTGTTTCTTTCTCCTCCGTTGCCTCCCTCCTCTTCGAGTTTTATCAAGAAACTAATCCCAAATAGCAAACCACTCACAAGCTCAAGTCCACCAATCTCTTAGTTTTCAGTATTCTTCTTCTCTCTACAAACTTCTCCTTTCAAACACTGTAATCAACACTTTTGCTCTAACAATCAAGCCTTTCCACCCACACTTGTCACACTTTCGCTTTTCAAGCCGCTTTTCTGGCCGCTTTTCTCCCCAGCTTCCAACAAATACTACTCACAATAAAGGAAAAGAAATGTCACGCCAATCTCACTCTTCACTACTGTAGTCTTTCTGCACCTCTTTCTACACCGCTCTTACAGGCTGTCACTTTCTTGCTTAGTCACGTCGGTGGCAGACCGGACTTTGGAGCCGCCATATGCTGGCAGCTGGCTCTTTTGCGCTGGGCTCAGGGGCTCTTCCCTTCGTTGCCAGGAGGTTGCCTTCCCCCACACTACAACCCGAGGGTCCCCTACGCCGACACGAATCTCTCCGGGGTTCGTGTATCCTCTGGGGATCGCTCCAAACGCAAGAAAAGGTATTAAAAAACCGCAGCTGGGCTTCTCCACCTCTGCACGTCCCTGTCCTGCCACCGGAAGTTGAGGCGGCCATTTCTGACCGCCGCTCTTACTGCCTTCGGGAAAGGGAGTTTAGCTAGCTGGGGAGGAAAGATGCGGCTTTCCTCAACCCTGCTGGGATCTGCCCCCTCTTTGCCACCTCTACGGGGTGGCTTAGCCCCGAAGCCAAACTGGCTCGGAACGCTCCAGCGGCAAGCCCAGGCAGAAACCGCGCACGATCGCGGATTCCTGCCTGCCGCCGAAGCCCTGCAAACTGGAAGACTCCATCTGGTGGTTTTTTCTAGGTAGGTGGTGGGGTCTGTATTTAGGGGTTTGTATGTGGGTATTTTCGGGTATTTTCCCACGTCATTATAGTTGTGCTTTTAAAGTTGTAGCGACGTTTCAGCAGAATCTCATCTGCCATCATCAGGTTTGTGTACTGTGTTCGTATATATATGTATACATATATATATATATATACATACATATATACATACATATATACATACATACATATATATATATATATATATATATATATATATATGTATAACAATAGTAAATGAAATAATTATTTTCGAGTTCAGCTCAGCCATTAATATTGATAGCAATCTTTTACATTTCTATTTAAAATATTTCCATCTTTTAACAAACATTACCTAATAATATCAGTTGTCATTCACTTTAATCACCTATATTTCATACTGTCTTTAAACAAAAAACAAAACAATAGTTAGTAACAGTAGTCAATAAAATTATTATTATTATTCAAATTCATCCTGTCAACTGATATTAATTTCATTAAAAATCTTTCATGTTTCTTTTCAACTATATACTTTTTTTTTAAATCATTGAGAGCCTTATTCTCTTATCCTCTTTGTTTCATTTAATTACTTTGTTGTTCCAAAATATTAAGGATTCAATTGAGGGCATAGATGAGAAAATGGAAAGCATTTTGCAAAAAAACATGAATAAAGATCAAACTGCCCATGAACTGATGGAAGCAACAGAAAGATTAGATGAAATGGATTACTTAAGCCAGCAAATTGAATATGAACAGGGGAAAAATATGGATCAGAAAAATCAGCAAATGAAGCAAAAGCTCAACAAAGAGGAAGACCAGATAAATGGCAAGCAAAAGGAACAGAAATAACAGATGAATTGGCTATATCAACAAACAGAGCATGGACTGGAGCAAAAAATAGGACTGACAAACCAGCTGATAAAGGAAGAAAGACCGAAGAAAAAAAAACAGATAAATCAACAATTGGAGAGACAGGAAGATACAGTTGAGAAGGAGATGGACATGGGCAGATATCTGGAAGAATTGGCAACATAAGATTGTATTGGGAGAAAGAATGATATAGATGAAGATAGAGATAAAGATGAGGAGTGTGGGAGGAGAATTAAAAAATGGTTAAAAATTGAAGTACTACAGAGAATATGAGACAATGGATAGAAAGAATTGCCCTTTAAAGATTAAAGTAACTTGATTGTAAGCTGAAAGAGGCAGAAATAAAATTAGATAGGGGAAATATTAGAATATAAATTGGTATAAAATAAATAAAAATAATAGAAGTTTACAGATGTTAGACATCTTTTCTTTTATCTATGTTTAAACAATATATAATGAGGATTATTTAAATTTGATAAATGTGATAGAGATTACTAATACTGTTAATATGAATGATATCCAGAACTAACACTGTTCACATACAGTATGGATGTATATTTTTAAAAAACAATAAAAACATAGTAAAAAATATTGTGCTGGGAGGTTTTTTATGAGTGAAAGATTAGGGGAGCATCCTTCAAATATTCCAATATTGGAGTATCTGCAATTTCTGGAGGCAATTATAAGCCTGACATACCAATTGAATCATTACCATTACTTCAATAACGGAACACTTAATTAATATAGATTGTTTTTCTAAGTTTCTAACTTGCCACCATGAAAAATGTGGCAAATGAGACCAGAAAGGTAATGGAGTATTTGGCCAGGTAGAACAGATATTTCCACAGAATTATTATAGATATAGTATACATCTATAAATATCCAAATAATATAAAGGGAAGTTATGTTCATGGTAGTTAGCTATCATTTGTTTGTACTGTACTGAATACAGGTAATATATATTATCATGTTCAATTTCAAATCTGCTCAAAGAAACTAGCAATGTGGCTGGTGAAATATCAAAAGTTTATTTATTGCCTTAAATGGCATTGGTTGAAAATAACTTTACCATAAGAATTTCCTTCAAATATTATTTTCATTTACCTTTCTGGTGAGCTATATTTGATTTTATGTATTAGGGAGTCTCAATTAATTTAGCCACAGCTGAAGTTCTAATAAAATATGGTACATTGGGTGTCAGAATGTTCTCTGTATATCTTTTCTGAATTTCAAGTGACATGGATTATTATCCCACTAAAAAGAGCCATTTTCTTCCACTGCTACATATATTGTCTGCTACATATATTGTTTGCTGTATATATTGTCTTCCATTGTAATTAAAAATGGATTCTGTACACTATTTATATTTTCACTAACTTTCCTACAACTGTCTCCTTCTGGCAGGACAGCCATTCAAAAATTGGGAGCAGAAATTTTTGAAAAAGTATATGAATTCCTCCAACAAGCAAGACAGAGGAAAGCAAGTGAAGCTGAAGTCAAAGAATACCTTGAAAAATTGGTATCTCGGGCAAGTGACTGCTTTGAGGTAGATCAGCTTCTTTATTTTGAAGACCAGCTACAAGTCTCGGAAGATATTTTGGTGAGATAGTGTATCTGAGAACGAATTTTCTTGTACTGTCTGAAACCACCAGGTTCAATATTGTTCACTTAGAAGCAAATTCCAAGTCAAGGTCAACTCTTGGTGATTTCATGAACATATCCATGTATATCCTTCTAGGCAACATTGTGGAAATAGTTAGCTATTGCTTTCTTCTTAGTCTAGCCTACAATCTTATATTCCCTGATAGTCTCTCATCCAGTTTCTGCCTAGGTCCAACCCTGCTTAACTTTCAAGCCCAGATAAGTTAACCAGGATTTACAACCTGCTGAGGCATATGGGGGGAAAAAACTGATTTAGAATAAGGACAGCACATCTTGAATACAGAATTACATTCTAAAGTAGTTTTGTTCACAACATAGCCAAATTGCCTCCATGTTAAAATTGGCACTGTTATTAAGCAGGTAAACTATTATTGAAAGAAATATGCTAATACAGGAAGTCCTCAATTTATGACCACAATTGAGCCCAACATTTAGGTTATTAAGTGAGACATTTGTTAAGTGAATTTTGCCCCATTTATGACTTTTCTTGCCACAGCTGTTAAATGAATCTCCGTAGTTGTTAAGTTAATATACCAGTTGTTAAGTGAATCTGACTTCGCCATTGACTTTGCTTGTCAGAAGGTCACAAAAGGTGATCACATGATCTTGGGAAACAGCAATGGTCATAAATGGCCAAGGATCTGAATTTTGATCACATGATCATGAGAATGTCACAAAGGTCATAAAACAGTCACAAGTCACTTTTTTCAGTGCTGTTCTAACTTTGAACAGTCACTAAATAAACTGTCATAAATCAAGGACTACTTGTGTGACAATCAGTCAAGAGTGTACAGCAAGTGGCTCAAAATGGAGTAACTGTGCTATCTAATGTTGTCAGCTGCCACTGTCTACACCATGGGAGATAGGGATGCTCATTAATAGGGAGAGAATATATATTGTCCAAATATAGTCAAGAGTGAAATTGTGATTCTCTATTGATAGTTCTACAAATAAACACAAAGAGCTGTACTTCATTTTTTATAAAATAGATAGTTTTAAAATAAGAACATAATGAATATTTCTTCTTTTACAATTAACAGATAGCAATGGTCAGCCTAGACATCTCTGTATTAGCAATTTGCTTCATTTTTCAAATTACATTTTTGCATTAGAATTAAAATTAATATAAATATTTAAATGTTAAATTATGCTTATTGTGCTAAATTCCTTACATCTTAAATACAGTTACCCTTAAAAGCATTGCTCCTGAAACTTTCCTTAAATGCTTTGTGTCAATCCCATTGATCTCCTTTGGGATCTGCCATTCTGGAGGAGTGGTGAAGGAATCAGGCTATGCTTGCATGGGGTTTTCCTTTGTTCTTTTTCTCTGCTTTGATGTACCTTTGGTATGTTGGGAGGGGGGAAAGAATGTGCCTTGGACCATCTGTTTTGTCTCATTACCAGAGGAGTGAAATCATGGGGTTCTGGTCTTCCTCCAAACATAGACTTGGAACTCTGACCCCACAAGAAGAAGAGCCAAGCCCATTGGACAGCAACTATGAGGACAACCCCTTGGCAAGTGGGATGATTGAGCCATCACTGTGCCCATAGAACTGCTAATCCCAAACATGGGAGAGAAGGTGGTGCTGATGGGCACACCCAGTGCCTAATAAGTCCAACCCTAGTGGGAAAACTGGGGACCCACCTAAAACAGTTTTAAAAAACTCATAGCATTTTGCTAGCTGGATGAGTCCACTGTGGGAGGATTCCCAGCCACATTTGTCACTGAGTCTCTGGAACTTGCCATTGAGAGCCACTCTAAGACTATTGCTTTTATTGTGGTTCTGGGCATGGAATGGCCCCTGGTCCAAGGACTATCATGACTAAAAAAGTGGAACCCACAGGTAGAATGGATGAAGGGGACCCTGACATTCCCAAGCCAGGGGGAAATCCCAGGAGGAAGAAGTTATGAGAAAAACTCCAGCTGCAGAAATGAAACAGTGGTCGCCGCCCAAAGTGAACCACTGCAGGGCATTCCCTGGGAATACTGTGGCCTAGCAGAGATGTTTAACGAAGTGAGATCAGACAAACTTCCCCCTCACCCACCTACTGACTGTGCCATCAAAATCCTCCCAGGAGCTAAACTACCAAAGCCAAAACTCTACTTCGGGAGCTAGATGAGCTGTGCAATTTCATAGACAAAAACGTAGAGCATGGCTTCATTCATCCTGCCAGACCCAAGTAGTTGCCCCAGTGCTATTCCGGGAAAAGAAAGATGGCTCACTTCATTTATGCATCGATTATAGGATCTAAATGCAGTGTGCATGGAAAATGTGTACCACCTGCCCCTAATAAAAGACATGCTGGTCCACCTTTTAAAGGGCAAGATTTTTTCTAAGCTGGACTTGCAACAAGCCTACTACTGAGACAGGATTTGGGAGGGGGTTGAGTTGAAAACAGCTTTTAATTGCCCACTGGGGTGTTTCCAGTTTAATGTGCGCCCATTTGGGCTCCAAGGTATCCCTACAGTGTTCATGCAGCTGATAAATGAGGTGTGGCATGAACACCTAATACAAGGGGTTTTGGTGTACCTTGGGTGACATTCTGATATATACTGAAACAAAAGCTGAGTACATAAAGCTGGTCCGGGCATTCCTGAGAAAACTCCAAGCCACCAAACTATATGCTAAGCTCTCAAAATGCAAATTCTACAAAGACAAAATAGACTACCTGGAATACTGGATTTCGCACCAGGGAAATGGATCCAGAAAAACAGTGAACAGTGTTAGATTGGGAAATCTTGTGCACCTGAAAACAGCTACAAAGCTTTCTAGGGTTCACAAATTTATATAGGTAATTCATCCCCTCATTCGCCCAAATCTCTCTCCCTATTACTAACTTGCTAAGAACCAAGGGTGTAGATAAGCCTCAATCCAGCCAACCACTAAAGTGGAACATAGAATGCCAAGCGGCATTCAAGAAGCTAAAAAAGCTTTTCTCAGCTGAGCCAGTGTTGAAACACCCAGACCTGGAAAAACCCAAAACCAAGCAGCATTGGGCAATATTGGAGAAGGAAACATTTGCAGTCAGATAGGCTCTCCTCCCTTGGCAGCACTTCCTGAAAGGAAATAAAATCCCTTTCCAGGTATGGACCGACCACAAGAATATGGAAAGCCTAAAGACCCCAAGGAAAATGCCCCCCAAGCACTGGGCCCAGTACTTCCAGTGATTTAACTTCACCCTCTGCTATTTGAGGGGGGGAAGGACTTCTTGGCAGATATTTTGTCCAGACAGCCCCAATATAACAGTGCGAAGACAGAAGTAGTTAAACTCATGCTCCCTGCATGGCAAATAGTACATGGGATCACAAACGAAAGGAGACACCCCTGTGGACAATGTCATCACTGCAGCCTAAAGGCCATAGAGAAGAATAAGTGGTTCCTTAACCACAAAAACACTTGCTCCATGCAAGACGGACTACTATTGGTTACGCAAACTCTACATTCCAGCGAGCAAAGATTAAATATCACGCAAGCCTGCCTTGACTCCAAATTGGCAGGACACTTTGGGTTTGTAAAAACTCTGCACCTCCTGAAACAACAATTTTGGTGGCCCTTAAAAAGGACATTAAAAGTTATTTTGCCAGGTGCCCCACCTGCACAGTGGCAAAGCACAGGAAGGGAAAAAAATCCTGGTCTCTTACAGATGATAGCTGATCCTTCAACACCATGGAGAGAGATTTCTATGGATTTTATTGTGGAACTCCTAGAGATTTTCAGAACTACAGTAATTTGGGTAGTGACAGAGCTTTTTTTCAAAACAGGTCTACTTCGTCCCATACCAGAAAATCCCAATGGCCAAAACTGTAGCAAAACTGTTCTTCCTTCACATATACAACTTACACACTGCATTATATCAGATCGGGGGGGGGGCAGTTCACCTCCAAATTCTGGAAAGCTTTTCTGGACTTTTTGGGAACCGACCAGGGCCTCAGTTGTAGCCATCATCCTCGAACGAATGGGATGATAGAACGCATTAACTCGATTCTGGAACAGTACCTCTAATGCTTTATTAACTATCAACAGGACAACTGGACCAACCTGTTGCCATTCACAGAGGTAGCATACAACAATTCAGTGTACATCAGCACAGGTTTTACCCCATTCCAAGTAGCCACAGGCCAAGAATTTAACTCAATGAGCTACCCAATACTGAACCAACAATAAGGGAGTGGCCTAATCAGCATTAAAACCACTTGGCTTGTGGTCCTCAAAACCCTAGGTAAACCAAAGCAGCCTACAAGGCTCACGCAAACAAAAAAGAGTGGAACCTAAACCATTTAAACTTGGGGATTGGGTCTACCTTTCCACTCGGTTCATACAGTCCCTGCAATCAACTAAAAAACTTGGACCAAAATTTGTTAGGCATCCAGAAATTGTCCATAGTAATCAATCATTCCGAGACAAGTATAATCTCCAACTGATTTATTAGAAACACATCTGGTACATCTATGACATTTCCAAAAATGAAAATCATTTTCAGCGCATTTCACAAAATCCACCTTCTCTCCTCCCACTTCTACACTTCATTAATCACGAGAACCAATTAACTGAAGCTGGAATTTTTTAATGCAACATACGGAATAACCTTGAACTTTCCAACTCCTCCACCTCCCTTTACATTCTTGGCAGCTGAATCTCAGAGCTGACAGGCGTCCCCCTTTGAAAACTCCTCCTCCTAAAAGAAAACCAACCAAAACAGATACAGGGGTTAATACATTGTCTTTAACCCCCCTCTTCCCCCCTCCATGAGGACCCTTTAGTTTGTGAGGAAAATCCTCATGGAATTGGGTAACCAATTGATCAGCATGGACATCCCAACTCTTTACCCAACTAGCATCTGAGAGAGGGTATCCCTTCCATAAGAATAAATATTGCAATCGTCCATGGTGTAATCTAGAATTGAGAATTTTGTTAATTTCATAATGTGTCTCCCCCTATACCGTTAACGGGTCAGGGGGAGTAATTGGCACTGGTTTTATCATTGATGTAGCAGCTGGTTTTAGCAAACTACAATGGAACACTGGATGAATCTTCCCTAATAGTCAAGGAAGACTCAACTGGACAGTGACCGGATTGATTATTTTTGAAATTGGGAACGGACGCAAGAATTTTGGACCCAGCTTCTTACTGGGCAGTTTCAACCTAAGATACTTGGTTGACAAATATACTTTGTCTCCTACTTTAAAGGGCGGTTGAAGGGATCTATGTTTATCCGCCTCTTTTTTTATAATTTTTTGCAGCTTCAGTCAGAGCTTTTTTTTTATCTTCCCACCCTTTCTTTAATGAGTTCATCCATTCTGTTAGGGACATGGATGTGGGAGGTTGTCTAGGTAACTCTGGGATCGGGACAAACTCCATTCCAGTGTTGATTTGGAATGGAGTCAACCCTGTGCTGCTATGTACTGCATTATTGTAAGCAACCTCTGCAAAAGGTAATAACTCAGCCCAATTTTCTTGTTGATAATTTACATAGCATCTAATGTATTGTTCAATCATGGTGTTAGCCCTCTCCACTGCTCCATTACAAGCAGGAAAGCTGAGGATAAACCTTGGGATGACCCAGTGGACTTCAAAATTGCCCTCCAAAATTTTGCGGTAAATTGTACCCCTCTGTCTGATATTACTCTGCAAGGTACACCATGTAGTCTATAGATATGTTTCACGAACAGCTTTGCAAGTTTTTTCGCAGATGTAAGTCCTTTACAGGCTATAAAGTGGGCCTGTTTAGAGAATAAGTCAATTACAGTCCAAATGATCATATTCCCTTCACTCTCAGGTAATTCCACAATAAAGTCCATTGTGATTTCTTCCCATGGTTGGATTGGTTCAGCGACTTGTTGAAGGAGGCCAGGGTTTTTTCCAGTTCTGTGTTTCATTGTGGTACAAATTAAGCAACTTTTTACATAGTCCTCAATGTCAGGTTTCAATTTTGGCCACCAGAACTGTCTTCTTAGTAAATGTAGGGTTTTTAAGAATCCGAATTGGCCTCCCAGCCGCGAGTCATGGCTATGCTTTAGTACCAGTAGTCTTAGGGTTGTGGGTACATAAAGCTTAGTCCCTTTCCAAACTAGTCCCTCATTCACTGTTAACTTGTTTTGATGGTCCAGGGACCAGAGATTGGTCAATAGGGCAATTTTCAATTCTGCGGTCAGCTTATCTTCCAGGTGTTTGGGGTTGCAGTTGGCTTGAGCTCGAATGGTTACTTGGCCTGCTGATTGAGCTTCTGGAATTAAGGCTTGTACTATTTCCTCTCGATGGCTGTCAAACTGAGGTTTTCTGGACAGGGCGTCTGCCAATACATTTTTCCCTCGGGGGATATATTTAATGTTGAAGTTGAACCGCTTGAAGTATTGGGCCCATCGGACTTGTTTGGGTGATAATCTCCTAGGGGTCTTTAGTGCCTCGAGGATTTTGTTATCAGTCCATATCTCAAAGGGCTCCTGCACCCTTTTTAGGAAATGCCTCCAAGTTAATAAAGCCCATCATACGGCGAATGCTTCTTTCTCCCAGAGCGCCCATCTTCATTCTGTGTCCGTCAGTTTTGTGGACACATAAGCGCAAGGCATCAGTCGGTTTTGAGAGTCTTTTTGCAGCAGAACGGCTGCCACCACTACATCGCTCGCGTCAGTTTGAACAATAAAAGGCTTAGTTGCATCTGGGTGTTGGAGGATGGGCTCAGCTGCGAAGAGGCATTTTAATGTCTCAAAAGCTTTCTGACAGTCCATAGTCCAAGCCAGGGGTTGACTTGGCTTCGGTTTGGTGGGTGATGGGCCCGTTTTTAATAACTCCGTTAATGGGAAGGCAACTTCAGCAAAGGACGGAATGAATTGTCTATAGAAGTTAGCAAACCCTAAAAAACTTTGAAATTATTTTTGGGTTCTGGGGGGTTGCCAGTCCAGCACCACTTTCACCTTTCCAGGATCCATTTCAATTCCCAAGTTGGATATTCGGTAGCTTAAACAATCCAGATACTCTTTGTGGAATTCGCATTTTGAGAGTTTCACTTATAATTTGGTGGCTAGAAGTTTTTCTAGAACTTGTCGGACCAATTGAACATGTACTTCCATGGTTTTGCTGAAGATAAGGATACCACCCAGGTATACAAGGACCCCCGATAAAGGTGCGAGTTTAGCACCTCATTGATGAGCTGCATAAACACTGTGGGAGCCCCCTGAAGTCCAAAAGGCATGACTTTGAATTGGAAGCTACCCAAAGGGCAGTTGAAAGCTGATTTCCACTCTTTGATGTGGTAGTAAGCTTCCCTGAGATCTAGCTTGCCTTTCGACAGGTGGTTCACTAAGTCCTTCATGAGGGGGAAAGGGTACATGTTTTTGACGCACACGGTGTTCACGCCCCAAAAGTCAACACATAATCTCAACCTGCCATCCTTCTCTTTGAACAACACGGGGCAGCTAATCTCGATTTGGTAGGTTCAATAAAACCTCAGTCCAAATTTTGGTCGATGTATTTCCTTAATTCAGTTATTTCAGCAGGTGTCATGGAATACATCTTTGGTTTTGGTAGTTTCGCTCCGGGCTCTAATTTTATGGCGCAATCAGTGGTCGATGGGGAGGTAAAACATTACACTCTTCTTCACTGAATGCTTCAGCCAAGTCTTTGTATTGGTGGTGTATCTGGGGTTTATCTGGTAGAAGATGGGATGCTGTGTATGCTGGCTCAGGCTCTGGGTTCAAGTTGACTGGTGGTTTTGTAGTGGGAGGAAGAGGGGGCAATGGGCCCGGTCCAATTAGGATTTTCCTGAATCCATCCTCTCATTTCATCATAGGAGCCCATTTGTCTAGCCAAGCACGTCCCAATATGATTGATTCTGACATCCTGGGGGCCACTGTGAAGCGTATGAGTTTGCAATGGGGCCCTAATTCCATCTTGATCAATTCTTTCATTTGGGTGGCTGGGGTCCCCCCAATTAATGTCCCATCCACTTGCTCAAATCTGATTGGGCGTTTTACTGGGCTAGTCTTTATGCCCAATTGTTCAACGATAGGCATCTAGAGCACCCAGTATCAATTTCGGCTTCTTACTGCCTGGCCTCCCCTGTGTTTGGTACCACTAACTTGACTTTGACTGTAAAAGGTATGATGGGATCACTCACCATTGGGTCATCTTCACTGGTCGGGTTCTCGGGGATGTGGTGTTGGTCTGGTGGTCCATTGCTCCCATCTGCACAGAGGGGACTTTCCCAGCTGTGTCTAGCAAACTGGCTAATGTCCAGAGGTCTTCCTTGATTCTTCCAACCTCTACCAGCTGCACTAGACTTCGACTGTGATGCTTGTGGTACAGGAGCAGGGGCCAGACAGTCTGCTGCTCTATGGCCATAGTGGTAACATTTCAGCATCCTATTGGGTCGGGGTACGAGCAGCTCCAGCTGGTCTGGTCAGCGGTCTCCTAGCCACAATTCTCTTAGGCGGGCCCACCAGAAGGGGTTTCCTGTGTGGATTGATGCTGCGGTCTAAGCTGAGGGAGGCGGCATACCATGCTTGTAAGGTCTCCGGTATTCCCCTAATGTTACAGCCTTCTTTACTTCTGGATCAATGGCATTTTTATAGTAGTGTAAAGTCATTTTTTCAGGCCAATCCATGAGGTGGCTTGCGACTCTTCTAAAGTCCCAAATAAAGTCTGACAAGGGTTGGTTGCCTTGTCTCATTTCCATTAACTTCTCTTCATTCTCTGCCACCCTGTCTGGATTTTCAAATCTGAGCCTTAATAATCAAATAAATCCGTTGACATCATGTAATTCGGGGGCTTGTTTGTTGTGTAGTTGGGCCACCCAATCTGAAGCATCCCCTTCATTCATCCCATCTGTTATGGCCGTAACCAAATTGCACTCTGTGGCATATTGATCTCCAAATTGTTCTATATGGGATTGGATTCGAGTGAGGAAGTAATTGAAATGTTCATGGCAACCATTGAATATGGCCTTAAAGGGTATGGTCTGGCCTGGGTTGTGGTTGGGGAGGTGGTACATGCCAGGCTCCTACCAGGCAGGTGGCATATCAGGCTGGGCAGGCCCCCTGAAGCCTGTCTGGGTGGTGCCTCTCTGGAATAGGGGTCTTTGTGGCCTTGCTCCAGGTTGGGGTTGCATTTGTGGTTGCCATGAGGAAGATGGGTGTGGCCTGGTTCCCTGGTCGGGTGGAGGGGAAGTGGCTGCTGTCTGCTGTCTGGGCAACTCCCCTTCAGACCAGGATTTTGTTGGTGCTGGCTGCCATTGGCACTGAATCCACCCCTGGCCTGGATAAAATCCCCATCCTGGAGGGATACTTCCTGCAGGGGGTAATTTTTCTTCTGGAAAATGAGGGGATTGCCTCGGAGGCTGCAACATACCTCTATCAGTCGATGCTTCTTGCTGGGCTTCTCCAACTGGCATCTGTATAATCTCCTCCAAACAGGGGCTGGCAGACCCAGCTAATGCTCCGGAGGTGGGGCCCCCAACAGTTCCCTCCTGCATATCTCCAACTTCGGCTGATTGTTGATCTTTTTCCATCTCTGGGAAAAGACTCTCCGGGGTATCAGCCAAACCCCTTTAGAAAGGAAAAGTCACTTTTGGAAATAAATGTTAGACATCCAGGAATTGTCCATGGTAATCAATCATTCTGAGACAAGTATAATCTCCAACTGATTTATTAGGAACACATCTGGTACGTCTATGGCATTTCCAAAAGTGAAAGTCATTTTCAGCGCGTTTCACAAAATCCACCTTCTCTCCTACCACTTCTACACTTCATTAATCATGAGAACCAATTAACTGCAGCTGGAATTTTTTAATGCGACATACGGAATAACCTTGAACTTTCCAATTCCTCCACCCCCCTTTTACATTCTTGGCAGCTGAATCTCAGAGCTGACACATTCCCTATTACCTGCATTATTAACTTGGCACAATGGAGCTGCAATTACCCAAGTCATTGTGGCAAGTGCACCTTCCATTGCAGACTATTAAAACCTGAAATGACCTTGGTCTTATGACCCATGCCCCCACTTATTACAACCCATTATGGTAGAGGGCAAACAACACTTTGAGATTAAACAGATCCTTGATTCCAGATGGTACTATGGGTCTACCAAGTATTTAGTGGCCTGGAAAGACCTCCCCACATCTCAAAACAAGTGGGTTAACCAAAAATATATTAGACCCCCTACATCATGGATGTCAAACTCACATTGCTGTCACAGGATGTTTAATTATTTTTTCCCCTTTGTGGAGCTCAGGTGGTCATGGCCTGCACATGATGCATGCAGCCCTTCGGCTGCCAGTTTGACACCCCTAGACTAGATTAATTAAGTGCTTCCACAACTCTTTGCTGACAAACCTAACTAATTGTTATTATTGTCTTCCCCTTTATTATTTTTTATGTATCCAGGTGGATATCTCCTTTTCTTAGGGGGACAGCATGCTAGGTCCCATTGATCTCTATCAAGACCTGTCATTCTGGAGGGAGGGGAGGATTCAGGCTACACTTGCATGAGGTTTTCCTTTGTTCTTTTTCTCTGCTTTGATGTACCTTTGGAAAGTTGGGAGGAGAGAAAGAATGTGCCCTGGGCCATCTGTTTTGTCTCATCACTGGAGAAGTGATATCATGTCACCTGGGAACCTGCCTGTTATCACCTTCTCAGCCCCAAATTCTCACAACATCTTTGCACCTTGGGATTTGCACCTCAAAGAAGAATTGGGCATTGGGAGGGCCCCCAAAAGAAGCAGTTTAACCTAATGTTCCAGCACACGAAATTTAGATTCTGTCTACACTCTCCCTGCTATCAATTTTCCAATAAAAGTTTCTTTTGAAATACTGTTTGTTTCAAGCGTTCTGCTTTCTTGAGAAGGCTGGTGAGGGAGGATCTTACACTTTGAGATCATGTGAAATAAACTTATTTGCTGAAGAGATTGATAATCTATGGTAGCCTCTGTGGATTATGTAGTTATTTCAGATTCACCAATTCCTGGAGTTTTCACATTGTAATGTAAAAAAAAAAGAATATTGTTTGAGTGAATAATATAGCTTGAAGAATTCAAACTTTATAAAATGTACTGCTAATTTTATAGTTGCAAAATCATGTTCAAGCCATTCACTATATCTTCTGGGAATAATCTCAGGAATGTAACATTTACTGACAGATGAAATGTCATCCCATAATTTGTTTGTTTGTACATATACATATGTGTATGTATTAACTATCCAACATAAACTAAGACTTCATAATTCTCTCTAATTTCCAATAATCTACCATTGGTTTAGAGTCACATTTTAGATATGCAAATTCTCTTCCAACACACATGACTGACTCATTCATTTCAGTAGCAAGTTGTCTCTTGTAACAATAGATAAGAAATGTCTGGTGGCTGCTGTGAGGATCTCCTCCTACCTCAAATTTGGGTGATGGTAACATTAATGTATTAGGGCAGGGGTGGACAAACTACGGCCCATGGGCCACATCCGGCCCGTTGGTCTGTCCAATCCGGGCCGCCTCTGAAAAAAAATCGCTGGGCGTGGTTTATTGCCCTGCGCCGCGTGGCCCCCAAAGCTGCAAAACAGCTCGGAGTGCTCTCGGGGTAGGAAAGAAAGGAAGAACTTTGCAAAGGCCTCGGCTGGGAGTTCGAAATCACCTCCGAGTGCAACCTCTCCGAAGGTGAGTCCCCGCCGATCCCCCTTTTTTTCCTGGGGCTTCCAGGCTTAAACTTTGCAAAGGCAAAGTTTGCAGGCGGGAGCGTCTTCCCCCCGAGGGGCGGGAAGGGTTCTGCCCGGCGGGCGGGCGGGCGGGCTGCTTGGAGGAGGCGACCCGGGGCGCTCCGGGCTTCCCCTCCACCACGCGGCTTGGGGCCAGGCGCTTCCTCACGGGCGCTCACGAGAAATGTTGGACTTTTGAAGAGAATGCAGGATAAAGTTACCGAAATTAACCCTGAGCAGAAATTGACATTTTTGCATTGTATTATACATCAGGAAGTGTTGTGTAGGTCAGTATTAAAAATGAACCATGTTGTTGATGTTGTAACTAAAACCGTTAACTTCATCAGAGCAAGAGCACTGAATCACAGACAGTTTGTGGCACTATTGGAGGAAAATGAGTCTGAACATCGTGACATCAGCTACCACACAAATGTCAGGTGGCTGAGCCTGGGAAAAGTCTTGAAAGTTTTCTGGGATCTGAGAGAGGAGATTTGGCAGTTCTGTGAGAACAAGGGAAATGACATCCCTCAGCTTTCAGATGCAGACTGGCTGGCAGACCTTAGTTTTGCTGTAGACGTGACTTCTTTGATGAATGACCTGAATGTCAAACTGCAATGCAAGGGCCTTTTTGTGCATGAAATGTACAACGCAGTGAAGGCTTTCATGAGAAAGTTGCAGCTTCTCTCAAGCCAAATGGGGAACAATATTCTTACTCACATGTATTAACAGCGGCTAGGATTGCATTTGTTAAAAATTGGAAGAGTGAGAAAATACCATCAGAGGAAGAAATTATTAAGAAAATATTGGAATGTGCTGAAATGAGTAGATTGACATTTGAAATTAGAGAACAAGAAGATAAACAATTTTATGAAGTTTGGGACCTTTTCTATCAATGGCTAGATAATAAAATATAATAATAGAATATTTAGAAACTTAGGAAATGAATATATACTTCTTTTTTTCTTTTCTTTTTTTGACACTATTTTTATAAAATTTTATTAAGATAGAACTGGTATGACTTTACGATTTGTTATAAAATAAACTAAGTAAATTATAGTTATCTCATATGAATTAATAAAATTATAGTCAAATGATTGTTTAATAATGATATTAGGTAATATAATTGTTGATTGATAATATGAGATTATTTAATATAACTACAATGGAGACTATGAAATGGATGCACAAAAAAAGTGGTAAACCAACCGATACACTGTCTGTAAATTTATGAAGGAGGATGATGCTTTTATGTTTTATGTTTTATATGTTTTTGTTCGTTGTTAAAACAATAAAACTTTTTTTCAAAAAAAATATATTCTTACTCACATGCCAACACTGAAGGAAGCCAAACCATCAGCTGATCACCTCCACAGGTACTCATCCATGTTAGAAGCACTGCATGCTGAGTTTTCAAGGCGATTTCAAGACTTCAAAACACTTGAGAGTGAAATGGACATGGTTTCTTCTCCCTTCAGCTGCAATGTGGATAATGCACCCAGTGATGTTCAGATGGAACTCATTGACTTGCAGTCTGACACACTTCTGGCAGCGCACTTTAGGTCTGTCCCACTGCTTGAGTTTTACTCATCACTCAAAGAGGAGAACTTTCCACACATGAGGAGACATGCTCTGAAAATTCTAGTCCTCTTTGGATCTACCTACATATGTGAACAGACATTCTCAGTGATGAAGTTCAACAAATCCAGACACAGATCCTCTATCACTGACGACCACCTCTCAGCTGTCCTTCGCATAGCCACCTCAGATATTCCGCCAGATTTCAGTGCACTTGTTCAAGCCCAAGACAGACTGGATTTCTCCCACTGAACAGGTAAATGATTCTTATATATAATTTGCTGCATTTTATAATGGGCCCTTTATAATGGCCTTTTATAAAATTGGTTCGGCCCTCGAACGCAGATCTGATTTTCCATGTGGCCCCCGACAGAAATTAATTGCCCACCCTTGTATTAGAGTAATAGTAACATTCACAGAGGGAGAGAATCAAGTTCACATGAAGTTGTAGTACTGCTTTATAAGACCTTGGTAAGACCACACTTGAAATACTGCATCGTTTGATCACTATGATATAAAAAAGTTTTGAAGATGTTGCCTTCAAAAGTTGTGGGTACTCCATCACTGGAGGCTTCTAAGAAGACATGGACAGCCATTTGTCTGAAATGATACAGGGTCTCTTGCTTGAGCAGGAGGTTGGACTAGAAAACCTCCAATGTCCCTTCCAACTCTGTTATTTTGTTATGAACATTTCTGCTGCAATTGTTAAATGAATATCACAATTGTAAAGTGAATGCCAAATACATTAAGCACATGCCATACAGTGCATTCAGAAAGTATTCAGACTCTCTTCAGTTTTTTCTTTTTAATACATTCACAGACATATCTTCATTTTTGGGTACTGAGTGTAGATTAATGAGAAAAAATGAATTTCAATAACTGTAGAATCAGGCTGCAGCATAAGCAAATTGAAAAAAGTGAAGGGGTGGTGGAATATTTTCTGAATGTGCTGTATTTGTTAAGTGAACCAATGGTTTGCTATGAGGTGTTTTTTTGCTGGAAAGAAGGAAGTGAACCTCAATTTCTGGTAAAACATCATAAATCATGGTCACACGACTTCAGGACACAGAACCAGCTATAAATGTGGGCCAATTGCAGAGTGCCTAAAATGCACGGGGGGGGGGGGGGGGGCAATTACCAGAACTTAAAATCTGGGTCATAAATCCATATTTGCTGGGTCTGTCATAACTTTGAATGGTCTCTAATTGTCCAGTCATAAATTGAGGATTACCTGTATGGGTACAGTTAGCATTAGATATTTTCTCTAGACTTACTAACTAGGACAGTGCAGTCCTTTGCTGGAAGGGAGAAAAAAATAGAGCCCCTAACACTAAAAATGTGCCCATTCATGAATACTGTTGGTAGATTGGACGTTCTTCTATCCTGCTATTTTGTATTCTTGTTTTGATGGTTTATTACTTCTTTAATTATTTTGGCATTTCTGAGGGATAAGCTTTAATATAAAGTGATTCCTTGGAATTGCATTAAAGAATATAATATAAATTGATCCAAAGGATTCTTAATAAAGGGCTTTGGTGATGGAGTAAAACCTGCCTTTTTATTGTAGGTCTTTTTACTTTAATTTGAATATAAGGGGCTGAAGGCAAATTACATTACAAAATATTAGTAAAACAAACAGGTGCAGATTGTGACTATTAACTTTGCCTTTCTGACACTCTGCCCTGCTGCACTGATTGGGTCAGAACAAGATGAATTGTGAATATGGTCTTGTATCCTGTCCAAGAAACCTGGAATTAATTTCAAAGAATCTTCTTTTTCTTTCTTTCTTTCTTTCTTTCTTTCTTTCTTTCTTTCTTTCTTTCTTTCTTTCTTTCCTGCCTGCCTGCCTGCCTGCCTGCCTGCCTGCCTTTATTACTTTTACAAATAACTCATGGTGGTGAAAATATCCAATACATCTTCTTCCTATTTTCCCCAGAACAACAACAAACCTGTGAGGTGAGCTGGGCTGAGAGAGAGTGACTGGCCCAAAGTCACCCATCTAGCTTTCATGGGTAAGCAGAATAGAACTCATGGTCTTTAGCCTGGTGTTTTAACCATTAGATCAAATTGTCTTTCCCTCTCTTCATCCATTATTAAGCTCTTTTTTTAGTAGGCATAGTTAACTCATCTAAGAGAAAATTCTAGGAAGAGCACTGTTAAGGCTCTTATATGATAAAACATGCAGGAAATTAAATTGCAAAATATAATACATGAAGAGCACCTAAATAAAAATGCAAAATGTCTGAGTGAAAATTATTTAGGTGAAAAGATTTTTTCCTAACAACACAGAATATAGGGTCTAAGCACAATTTCTGAGATATTGTTTGGAGAGATAAAAGAAAAGGTTCTGACCTGTAGGTTCTGACCTTTAGAAGAAATAATCTTCTAAATCTAGGAAAATACTTAAGAGGACTTTCCCCTTTTACTATAATTCTCAGATGGATTCTTGTCTTGATGAACAGAGAATTAGAGCTTAATTATTCAGGCTATCCTAACATGATAATTATCTTTGTGGTGGGTAGAGAACCAAGGAGTTCTTTAGAAATTAAAACAAGAGAGAGCAGCCACTTCCGGTGGCTATGCAGGGACGGAGAAAGGGGTTGGAGACCGCTCTTGGTTCTTCACCCCCTTTATTTATTGTTGGTGTGACCCCCTGGGGTGCACGAAGCCCATAGAGAAGCGTGCCGGAGTGGGGATATTCGAGGTGTGACTTGGGGGTAAGCGACCCTCACCACACTGAAGAGAGACCCTGTAGAGCCCAGCAATCAAGAGGCCGCCGTTCATGAATGGCAGCCCTGAAGTCCTGAAAAGCCAGCCATAGGACGAAGCAAATGAGAGACAGTTTGTGATGGATACCGGAGAAGAAACTGCAAGCAAGATTGTAACTGCTAGAAAGCGTGGAAGAAGACTCGTAAATACCAACAGAGAGTTTGATCGGAGCCACGAGAAGGCAGCGAGAAAGCAGAGGTGAGATTGAGCAGAGAGTGACTGGGCACGAGAGACCCTTAGGAGAGAATGGAGATCGAAGTGAGCGAATTGGGAAGATCTGTAACGCTCGAGAGGATTACTCCAAATTTTAACTTTAAAAAGACTTAAATATCCAGAGGTGAGACTGTGGGATAGACTACTTCAATTGATTGACTTCCAAGAGCCTTCCTGAGATGGGAGGAGTAACAGAAGGAGCAGAATTGTTAAAGACAACGAACAGCCATAGACATTACTCAGCAATTTTTCAGAGTTGAAGTGTGTTACTCTTTGAGACTATTTGGTGAGAGAATGAATTAAGGATGATCTATTGAGCAATTGATTTCTGGATAATTTCAATATATCTATTTAGTTTTTAATATACCTATTTAGTAAATTTATTTATAAATTCGGGATAAGAAATTTGATTATAATTATTGATAATTGATTCCTATAGATTGTAATTTGATGTAATCATTGTATTTATATTTACCCTTACATTATATATATATAGAGAGAGAGAGAGAGAATAATACTAACAATACTAACAATAGAATATATTAATATTTGATCATAATTTGACCAGACTAAATCAATTAATTACTGCAGATTGATGTTAAGCTATTTACATCTATATGTATAAATGCCTATAATATTGTCTAAATATTGATGTCAATACTGTCTTTATATTGATATTAAGAACTTTACATAGAGATTGGTTTTTATGACCAGAGATTAGGATTAGAGACTAAAGTATGTGTGTATATATATATATATATATACATATTCATATACATACACATACACATACACATACATATACATATACATACACACACACACACACACACACACACACACACATATATAGATATATACATACATACATACATATATACATATATACATATATACATATATACATATATACATATATACAGATATATATATACATATATACATATATACATATATGGTATTCAGCTTTGTTCGGGTATTTTCCCACGTCATTGTAGTTGTGCTTTTAAAGTTGTAGCAACGTTTCGGCAGAATCTCATCTGCCATCATCAGGCTTCTGCATAGTGTTCGTCTGTGAGTCAGACTTTCACAGCTGTTTCTTTTTCTGCCTCTTCCTCTTTCCCTCTGAAAAATTCTGTATAAAATGATTCAGCTTTCTCAATTGAATC